AAAAACGTTTTGTGTTCATATTTTTTAGCACGAGTGAGAGAGACACAGAGACGCAGGGAGAGAGAGAGAGAGAGACAGAGTGAGACAGTGAGAGAGAGAAGAAGAGAGAGTGAGTGAGAGAGATAGAGAAAGAGAGAGCGGGTGGGAGGGGACAATCACGGGCCTCCGTAGCAACCTGCAGCTCGAGATCTGCTTTGGACAGGCCCCGTGTGGGCTTGGACTTGGGCTTCTTCGGGCTGGGGGTGCTGCTAGCAGCACGTGCGCGCTTCTTGTTCGATTTGCTCTTCTTCCGTGCAGGCTCGCTGCTTGCACTGCTGGCGTCGTCAGCAGTCTCTGCATCACTGTTTGGGCCCTCGGAACCGGAATCGAAACCGAAAGCAACATTGTCCCGCTCGTTCTCACCCAAATCTGTCTCGTCCACCAGCTTGTCCTCAGACTCCTTCGTCGTGCTTTTCTTGGATGAAACATCCACGAGGTACTCGTGATCAGTCGGATTGTACTTGTCCTTCCTGACAAAAGCAGTCATGAAATCAGTTGAACATACACAATACATGGCAAGCAGTGCGGCGAGGTCCTCACGAAAGTTGCGCGGCGCTTCTTGTGCGTGCACCACTGCACCGCTCCCTTGATGCGTTGCCTAGGCATTGCAAAACCCAGACATACAATCTTTGCGCTTGTGCTTTCTGCAATATACGTGCGAACCAGCCACTTTGGCCACTTCAAAGTTTCCTTCATCGAAAGTTTCGTGTGCCATTCGCGGGACGTCAGCTCGGTGCGCTTCTGGGAATTGGTGTGGGTGTGCTTCAGGCGTGCGGTGAACTTGGCCTGGGCCATGGGCTGGGCTATCATTCATCACATATATGTACCACAAAGAAGCCGAAGCTAAGCTGAGCCAAGCCTTGTCACCACCACAGTTTACCATCTCCAGCACCAACTTTTTGCGTGCTTCCGAGGATTCGAACCATTTCTTGCGGAGCGCCTCCGAGGCCGTCACTTTGCCACTGCGCTTCTTCGGGTCGACCATGCGGCGAACTTTCGCCTCCATGTTCCTGTAAGTCTGGGCTGGAACCTCATATGTAGCAAACAGAGATCTAAGCATCCGTACAGCTGGCGGTGCGTTCAACTCTTGTCCCAGCAACTCCATGGATCTTGACTGGAGGTGGCTTTGCTGGGCTGCTGGGGATCGCCTTCCGAGGCGAGGATTTCGTGGATGTCCGAGTTGGCACGGCAGGGTCCTAAAGTGAGGAATCGATGCAATGATACTATCAACAATACGAGTTCATGAGTCCTTGGAAGAGGAAGACTTCGCAGTAGGAGATCGGGATGAGGTTTTTGAGTTTGCCTGTACAATCACAATCATGTGGTGGAACA